AAAAGTAATCTACAATGATCATATATTCCTTATCTGTCCAACTAAACAAATCTACTCCTGCTCTTGCCTAAAATGTCCTTTGAATATCAGGCTGTTCAAATGTTTCTTTGGATTGGCAGTCTTCCCAAGATTGATGCACATCACATTTCTCCATGATTGTCTTTAATTGCTCATTCATTCCTGGCCAATAGATGGCTTCCCTGCCCCATTACAGACATCCTTCAATTCCCAGATGTAATGGTTGCATTTTGTGCATGATTTCTGTCCAAAGAGCTTCTGGTATCACTGCCCTTTCTCTCCAGAAGGTAATGCCATTCTGTACACAAAGCTCGACTTGTATTTGGAAGAGTGGTGTTATCTCTTTTGGAACATGGTTTTTGTTTTTGGCCAGCCTTGCAATATCATGAATAGGTCTCTGAAATCTGTTATCTTCTTCAGTTTGCTGCTTTTTTTTTTTTAAGATTCCAGATTTTTCTGTAAATCTGGGGGGTTTCTCAGGTTTGTAGAAATATTTGTTTTGTCTCTTTATCGTTCTAGTCTCCAGATTTAAGTATCCACAGATGGGGCCACAGTGGAAATTAGATAAATTATTATTTTTGGTTTAATCCAGGGCCATAGCATTCTCCAAGTGAAAGGGCTGCATTAAAAAAAAAAAACCTTACATGCAAAGAAAACGGGTGATAATAGGATCATTTTAGAGAAGGAAATCTCAGTACCCTCAATAAGAAGCTGCATCCAACATCATTTCCCCAATATGTACATTTTTATAATACTTATTTGTCTTGGTCAGGTTTTAAATTTCTAGGACTACACTTTAAAACAAAAGTAATACGCAAAGTGGCTCTGAAAACAAAAATAATGAAATAACATGAACAAAAGGAAGAGTATTTTGTAAAGAGAAAAGTCTATGTGTTATTTCTACCAAATAGCATGCCTAAGAAGTACTGTTTTTTTCTCACAGCGGTCTAGAGGAATGAACTGGCTCCCAAGACGAAGTCATGAAAATAGTAGTTATTAATGGGGAGAATTATTGTTGGGCTTCATCATTCAGTACCTTAAGGAAGGCAAAAGAGCTGCTATGAACAGGCAGACTATAATTATAAATAGCCTATGTTTTCCTTGTTCCAAATGTCAGACTTAAGGCTTTAGTGAAACCACCATATGTACGCTATGTGCATGCATACTTTTGGTTTTGAATGAAGCACATGAAATTCTTCTGCTCTTAAATCATTTGTAAGGTTCACTGGAACATCGCGGCATGCCCGGGGAAACATGTTGCAATTAGAGTTGATCAGAATTGCAGTTTGCTGCAGAAACAAAAATAGCTGTTGAGGTGTGTGGAGGAAGGTTCTTTCCTAAACATAGGAGGGAGGGCAGAAAAAGAAATATAGGCAAGCCGTGTTATTATTGAAAGGCATACACTATGTCTTTGCTATCAGCCAACGAATCACAGAAATTTCAGTGCCTTATGAGTTCTGTATTGGTGATACAAGTGACATTATTCTAACTGTATCAATGAAATTGGGTCCACTACTTGGAAACAAGATTTGTTTACTTCACAGTTATGGAAACAATTGCCCAAATAATAAATACATTTAAATTTATTGTGCAAAACCCCTGGCTTGGGGGGAAAAGAAACCCTTAAATTGCCACACATAGAATGACTCCCATCCATAGAGGCATGGTATCCTTGTATCTCCAGCCCCAAATGTCCACTGAAGTACTGCTCCCGTGGAATGCAGGACCCCCAGGAGTAGCGGTGGGGGGGTCAGAGGTCTGCATTGGTGAAAATTGCCCCACCCCTTGCACATGTGGACATTTTAAGCAAGATCCAACCCCTTGGTTCGCTGGAGTCACATATCCACATTCACAGGGTGATTATTACTGTCATAAGAACGTTCTCTCAAATTAACAACTGTCCTATGGTTCTGGCATTTGTAACTCCCATCATATGTCATTAATCAAGGACAGCATTGCTGTATATTACTAAGCACATTTTCATCTAATGTAAAAAGTGCCCACCAGTGGATGATGAAGTTCTCAATAATTATATTTCTCATTTGGTAATCATCATATATATTGGCTATAAACAGATGATTCATCTAATGGGAAATTAGAAATTAGGCATAGGTCCTTTTATGGTATGAACAAAATGAGATGATGGACATAAACCTGGTAAATAGTTATGTTCATGCACTCCCTCCCTTCTCCCTTCATGTAGCACATTAATGGAAGAGGGAAGTTTACAACTATCTTCTGTTAGTGACAGTGTCCAAATGGGCAGGCACCTACCTGGAGTTAGCTTCTTTCCCAGTAACTGGGATTCTTAACCCTAGTTTTACCCTGGTACCTGGGAAGGAAGCAAACTTCTGTTTGTCTCGATGCCTGCATTTGAACATCACAGCTATTTGGAGTTATTGCAAGAGTTCCATCTTCAGTTTTTTCCCACAAGGAAAAAAAAGTGTCCAAGGCCAGCTTGCCAAGTTTATGCCTGTCTCAACCTGTTTGTGATGTTTGAATGTAACCAGAGGGGTTCGTCAGCAGTCTGGTGTTTTTAAACATTATGGAAGAAGCTTGTCCAGTGATTCTTGTTTGAGGCTGAAGGGAAAGATGGACCCTTTATTATCTGAGAAGATTTCACATAACCAGGTTGTCTGGTGATTCTGTTTAGAATACACTGCTTGCCCATTGGGTAAGTAGCTCATTTTTGTCAGGTACAAACGTCCAACTGGAACTAGGGGTGTCAACGGCTAGTGCCTAATATGCTGTCAGTGCCACTAAACGCTGCTTTGACAGTCACATCTCCGTCATTTGGCCCTCCAAAACACAGAGCAAACCTAAACAGAGTTATACCCTTCTGAGTCAATTGAACTCAGTGGGCTTAGAAGGGTGTAACTCTGCTTAGGATTTTTCTAATACATTTGTCTAGTGCAACCTTTTTACCCCAAGTGCTAAAATTCCTGCAATGTCTACCTATTGGTTTGCTGGCAAACAGGGGGAAGAGGAAGAGAGATGAGGATTGGTCAGACAAAATGGGAACAAACGGAACCCTGGCAGCACTGCCAGCATCTCAGGGACTTGCCTTGGTGCCAGGGATACAGAACTGGCCCTGTTTATTGAACAAAACATGCCACAATTTGGTAGACATACCAAGGGTTGCTCAAGCTTGGTCTAGACTAGAGGCTGGAGTAACAGTCTAGATGAAGTCAGACGATAAGGTTTTGGTTGTGTATCATTTTAGATGGTGGGTGCTCCACTGATTCAACTCTATAATTATTTGGGTCTTACAAAACTTAACTCTTGTAATACTGGTGCTTTGGGTATTACCGTATTGTTATGTTACAGCATTCTAAAATTAGGGCATGTCCTTTAAATCTTTTTAAATATGTCTATTCAGGATCTTTTGGAGTAAGGCAAATAACTCCTGGTTCTGTTCTGTTTGGATTGGTCTAGTTGTAACAGCATCTTATGTTGGAAGTTTTGCCTCTTTAAGTTGTACAGTTGTGTGATTCTATGAGCTTTGTGCTTGAATTCACATAAACCTATTTTAAAAAAAATGAATTCAAGCAAGGAGATGGGTTTTTTTACAAGTTGCATCTAGAGGTCAGAGGGTGAAAGGTGACTGGCAAGATGCGTATTGTATGCATTAGTCTAACACAAATATTTCCTGAAGTATAAAATGCTTTGATCTCTGTAAGCACATACCATATGTATGCAGCTGTGACCCACATCTCCCAACCGCTGGAAAGTTAGTGAAAGGTAGTATATAGCTCTTAAGTCTGTGTTCAATTTCTGCTTTTATATTTAGCAGTTCATAATTTTATGTAATAATGTAGCAGTATGAAAAATATGCATGAAAATTGAGTGATAACAGATTTTTTTGTGGTTTGATTCAATGTTGTTTGGGTGGATTCAGAATCTGGAGGGCTGCAGGCTGAAAAAAAATGGGTTTTTAATTAAGGCTATGTCCACTTCAAAATACCTGAAGCCACATGAAAAGCTTGGGAGGCTTTCCAAAATCTGGAGTTCCATGTAGCTAAGTGTTTAAGCAGTTGTGTCACAGACTTGCTGCCACAAAATTGCAGCACAAACTAGGAACAACCATTTATTGGTTTGAGCAGCTATTTTAAGTAGGCATATTGCCATGTGGTTGATTCTGTATTCAAAGTGTTTCCACTGGTGAAGAAACAGGCTGATCACATGGTGAGAATAAAACTGGGCTATTCAGCTCCGGAAAGCTGGTTCTGGGCCACAGTGCAAAAGAATGCATCCTAAATCCTGACCCTGAATATTTTCACTTACAACACCAGTGTAATGTTTTTACATCTGCATAATTCCACCGGTGCAGTTATTGGTACTTCCCATCCTAAGAGTGTATGCGCCGCATGCCTTTGAGTGAAACTAGACATGATGCTCAACACAGGCCTGCTGTTAAAAAGATAATCTTATAATACTGGAGCAGACCTTTCCTGAATGGACATTAATACCCACAGGGGAAAGTGGTTGTATGGCATTGCCATAAAATCAGTCAAAGATTTCTTTTTGTGTATATAAGAATAGCATGGCAGACTAATGGTTTGTCTGGTCCAGAAACTAATTATTGGCAAGATCTGGTTCTTTCAACCAGGACAATGTAAAAGGACAGAATATATTCCCTGTGATCTACTCCCAGATTCCAACATACAAAGGCATACAAATAATTAACCATTATAAGAAATTTTCGGAGCTGTATGTCTAACAGTTGTTGATATGCCCATTAACTTAATCTGATCAGTTCTTTTGCAATTCTGGTTTGCTTTTAGCTACTGTTAATTCAACAAACTGTTGAGGGTCCAACCTTCAAAACTGAATCCCAGAGCTGTAGAGTGTAGGGCCATTTCATTACTGGATATTGGTTTGGTAGACATGTGTCATGCTAAGATAATTTATTTCCAGGGTAGTGGGTTTTGGTTTGGAGCTCATTCTCATTTTATTATTTTCTGGATTATTTTTTTTTTAAGCTTCTGCTGGGCATGGCAGGCTCTACAGATGAAACGCTTCAGGAAGCAGCAGCCGGTTGCATAGCAAACATTCGCAGGTTGGCTCTAGCTACAGAGAAAGCAAAGTATGGTTGAAACGTCAGACAACTTTTACCAGCTCCTGATAGTATTTTTTAATATTACAACGCTAGGACAGAGTGGACAGAACTGGAATGAAAAATGCATGTTAGGTTATTTGATAGGCAACTAACAATTGTTCTAACATCTTAAAGTAAATAAACAAGTTGCAAGTACTCTTTATGTTGATGATATCCATACTTTACTGTTGGAAAGTTTTCGATGTTTCACCTGTACCAAACATGCTCCAGTGAATATCCACAAATATCTTTCCAGTTTCATTTCAAATACATTTTGACATGTCATGGACATACAATAAAGATGTTTTCCCATACTTGAATGTGGTTGTACTATTATTCCTGGGTGTCTTGAGCAATTATGTTTCTGCTAAACCTGTCTAATCATTCTGTCATAATGGTTTTGCTTGCTTGAGCACTTACAAAAGCCTCCAGAGATGTCTGCGTACAAATGCACTAGTTCAACATCTGGAATTATACAAGTGTTTCAAGCAGATGGAATTGTGTACACACTTTCAAGATGTCTCCAGAACCCCTTTAGTACTGTCAGCATCGAAGATTTCCATTAAGATTAATAACATGTAATGTATGTGGTTAGAAAAGCAAGTGTTCAAACTCACAGCCAGACAACTAAAATGAGAATAAAAGAAATGAGCATTTTATGCATCTCCATTAGAATTATCTCACTGTCATTTCCCATTTCTTACTCAGGGAACAGCTACAAACTTTTTACGGGCTTACACCAGTCAAACTCACATGGCCACCCCCAAAGAATCCTGGAAGTTCCAGTCTGGTGAAGGTACTCAGAATTCTCTGTTAGGCTTCCCTCTCTTGTGCCTCTTGCAGAAGTAAAGCGAACTAGTTCACACCCATAGTTTGCTTTCCTGCTGTATTCTACTGATACAGATCCTACTGATTCCAGGGCTGGGCTTGCCATTCAGCTTTAGAGGTGGACAGCGAGGCCACAATATACTCCAGCCTGATCAAACACATCAGACATGCACAATCCTGAAAGTTATCCTATGAATTTCTAGATTGTGGGTGTGATGTTCAGGCTGATCAGATGTGTTTGAGCAGCTCTTTTGGGTGTCATCTAAACAGTCAAAACCCAAAGAAGCCCAGCTTGTTAAACATTGAAATATGAAGGTCCTTAATTCTGAATTAGTTCGTGCTTTTTGGTTTCTCTTCCATCACAAAAAACCCCCAAAACTTTTGTTTCTCTGCAGCAAAACTGTATTATTTAAATACAGTGGCAATGAATGACCCTCCAGTATAATGAAAGATGAATGGATTGGGACTTCTCTGTTTGGGATATGGATCGGCATCACCCCTTAAAGTGGCCCTGATTGGTATAACCCTCACACAGTATCCATGTTCAGGAAAGTAGCAAACTATGTTGGTTGTACCTCGCAGGACCCAGCAAAAACATTCCATATACAATAGCAGCATTGAGCTCTCTAATACCCTAAATGAAATGTCCTCACTCCTTTAACTTGTTTTTCCCAAAAAATATTTTATTAGATGCCTATAAGAAAGCAATAAACATGCAAATCATGTATATTTTCCCCTCATTTAATTTTTTAATAAGCAGCATATAGTACTTCTGTACCCAGCCTATAAATTTCTGGAGTCATTTCGGATTTGTAATGTCTCAGAACTTTCTATTTAGCTATCAAGATAGCTGTGTGACCAGACTTGCTGTTTTTTCTTCTGTATGTTTGGAAAACATTTCCAGATTACATGACAAGAGCCAAAAGAAAACACTGTTCATGTCATGTTAACACACTGAAATATTTCTTGTCAGAAAGGTATCATAGAAAATGCCAAAGCATCTATCAGAAAGTATAATGTTAATTGTTAAAAAAAATCATCCCCCAGGCCCAAAGTGCTCTAGCAAATCCTGTCCCCCATTTTTATACTGTCTTGTTTTCTCCATTCACTCTGATCGTCTATGCTTTCTTTCATCTTTTCATTCACTTGGTTCCCATTTGTCACATTGCTTGTTTTATGGCTTCTCTGCTGTTTTTAAACTGTCCTGTTTTCCATCCATATTTTCACTTCCATCTATGCTTGCTTAATTTGGTGTTTCTGTTTTGTATTGTATCCAAAAACACTCCCTGATGAAATTTCTTACAGATTACCACATTCTGTCTCCAGGGCTGGCTCTTCCATTTATGCTGCCTTCGGTAGCAGATTTTGAGTTCTCCATACAAACCAGCGAGTCATTTAGTGTATGTAAAGTGTGGGGGGAGTGTCTCTATTCTTCTCTAGTTTTTCTTTCTTTTTTTTTCAGCACTAGCCTCTAGTGTTTCCAGTTGGCTGGCAAACTGGGTGTGTGTGTTTGACTATAAAAATGGGAGGCTTTCAAAAAATGCATTTGGGTATCTTTTCCAATTTGCTTGGGTCGGTTGTTCATTGAATGTAAATCAACAGAACTCCAGCAGATGTCAAAACCACTAAGCTTGCCTTTCATTAAGATGCTCTGGGGGGAAATATCTTAACAATTCACAAAACCATTCTGGAGAAATACTATAGCACTCTAGGAAGGAGAGGACCTTCTTTCCTTTGAACTGAAGAGAAATACTCAAGCTTTCATTGCAAGCGTCTGTCAGCAGACAAGGAAAAAGCCTTTCTTTTATCACTTCCTGCCTGTATGATTTATTACTTGATGACAGACGTTCATTATCAACTAATCAATTGTCCCAGGATGCTCAAGTAGGCACTGAAATGTGAGCTTTATATTCATTTCCTCTTAAAGTTCAAGCATATGAAAATATATGTTATGACCCACTTATGTACTGTTTTATCTTTCACTTGTTAAGGAGAGATCAAATATGGTCGGAGGGCACAGGCTAAAGTAACTGCTGAAGCTAAGCAGGGCTAGGTCTGGACAGGACCTGGACAAGAGACCTCCTGGGAGAACATGGTAGGCTCCCCTTGAGTTTCATGGTAGAAGAAATATAATCAACAGATAAAATGTGTGTCCAGGAGGTAAAATGTGTTCTTGCCCCCATCTTGGACCTGGCATTGCTGTCTTTATTTAGAAATTCAAGGTTTGGGATTTCAAAGTTGTGAGAGAGATGATTTCAAAAGCACTAGTATGTACTAAGTGAACAATATTTTTAACTTGAGTTTCTAGAAACAGCCATTTTCCTGTTATTTCCTGATTATATAACGATGGGCTGCTGCAGGTGGGTATCACATGAGTCCAGCCCCGTAGCTAGGGAATTCTTTGTGAGGGGGCCTTGGGGGGGCCACCAGCTAATTAAATGGAAGTACAGTGCAGGTGGTAGGTTGGAGCATTTGGGGGGCAGCCCAGGAGAGAGGGGGCCCAGAAGAAACACTAGGGGGCTGGGCCCTGTGGGCCCCATGTTAGCTACGGGCCTGCATGAGTCTCACATGCTTGCAAATCGTTCAGTCATCCTTTCATGGCCTTTCATAAACATGTGACATGCTTCCTTTGATCAGTATTGTATTTTAGGCAATGTCTGGAGAAATAAAAGCTCAGTCTGTGGTGTGTGATGGCCATCGCTTGCCATTGCAATCACAGAATGATGGGCGTGTATACGTGAGCTCATCTTCACTCAGCCGAATAGTTTCCCTCTCAGCATTTGGGCAAGCCAAAGCAGAACACTGTCTCCCTTGCTCCTTCCCCCTAAAACCAGCCTCTTCTGCTCTGTCTGCTCGAACACTGCCCTCCTCTCTATCCCCCCACTTGCCTTCCTCCTGTCTTGCCCCACCAGTCAGGGCATGTTTTGCTGCTGCCCTCGCTGTTTGCTGGAGTTTAATCCTCTGATGTTTGTACTCCTACCAATATAATCTTCCATTGATCCTGAAAAGTGCTCAGCTGGCGCGAAATTTATTCACTTCAGTTAAGCTCTTTGTCCTTGACATAACAGCAGAAGTGCAGTCAAAATGACATAACGTCACATCTCTTGCCAGCAGCTACGGCAATCCTGAAACCTTTTGCTCCAGCACAGTTCAACATTCCCCGTTAGGCGGCTTGCCGGCTTTCAAAGCTGGCTTCCAAGACTGGAAAGCAAACTGCTCCCTAGCTGAACGCTGTGGTCTCCTTGTCTGTCAGCTCTTCAGCTTTTTGCACATTCCCCTGGATTCAGGGAAAGGGAGAGGGGAGGGCGATTGTGTGGCTCAGCCACACTTACACTCAGACAGCCCAGCCCTCTCTGGGGCTTTGGTGACCTGCCTTTTACCTTTTGGGGGCCAAACCCTAGGTTAACCTCATTCCTCTAGAACTCTGTGGAACTGTGCCAGGAGAGATTTTTGGCCCAGACTTTGCAGGCTAACGGGAACCATTTTTGTTGTCCTTGCTGCTGCACCATATAGAATTTCTCACTGAGAAAAAGATAAAGACTCCCCAATTATATTTTACTACTCTGGCTAGGCTATAATGTTCTCCGCCACTCAGCACTTTGCTGTTCTTATCAAGATGCTGAAGCTAGCAAACTTGCACTTCTCCTGGAGGAATCCGCTCTGTTTTAATCAGGGGGACTTCATACGTGTGTTTTGGGTCACCCTCATTTTACGTTCAAGCCCCTACCCCATGCTGACAAATCAGGGGAAAAGGTGCCTATTTTTATGGAAGAGGGGAGTTTTGCAGGATGAGATGGCTTTTGTGTTACTCTTTCTTCTCATTTCGTTTCTTTGTTTTGTGCCAGACACCCCCTTCCTTGCTGGTCAGTTCCTTGCCAGTTCCTGCTGTTTCTTTTGGCAACTCTGATGTTTTATTCAAATTTACATGGAATACAAGTAACCCATGTGTTTCATCTTTTTTTTAAAAAACAACACCCCAAGACTGTAGTCAATTGTGTTAGAGCTGCAAATCTGCTTCTCTTCCAGAAGGCTCATAAATCCCACATATGAGAGTCTGCATCAGCTATCACATTGCCTAAAGTTGGGTGGATCCTGGCAGGGGGAGGAACCCAAAAGGCACACTAAAAAAAAAATCCTTCTCTGGTCTGGGATCCCTCTGAGCCACGGGTC